CTCAGGGAATATCTTTCCATTTCTTTCTGTCTTCTTTATTTTTTTTTTGAACAATGAATTATAGATTTCATTTTATAGGTACTTTCCCACTTAGTTTACTCCTAGGTATTAATTCTTTTTGATGCAACTATAAATGGGATTTTCCCTTGATTTCATCCTTTTCTAGCTCATTCTTTGTGCATAGGAATTTAACTAATGTTCATTGATTTTGTAATCTGCCACTTTGCTGGACTAGCTTATTGTTTCAATTAGTTTTTTTAGAGGAATCTCCAGGGTTCCCTATGTATATTATACAAATAATGGTAGTTTAATTCATCTTTCCCAATTTGCATTGCTTTTATATCCTTCCCTTGTTTAATTGTTCCAGCTAAGACTGTCAATACTATGCTCAATAGTAGGTAAAAGTAGACATCTTAATCTTGTGCCAGATCTTGGTGGGACAACTTTTAGTTTGTCACCACTGAGAATGATATTAACTGTGGGGTTGTCATATATGGCCTTTATTCTTACCCTAGTGTTTTGAGGGTTGTATCATAAATGAACATTTAATCTTTCCAAATGCTTTTTTGGCATCTATTATATCACCATATGGTTTTTATCTTTCTGTGTCTTGATGTGGTAAATCATTTTGATTGATTTTTCAAATGTTGAACCATTATTGTAACTGTAATAAGCTCTTGCTTTTTTCTGTTTGATTGATCTGTTAATTGGTGAAAGAAGATTTTTGAAGTTCCCAGTCACTAATGTGTTTCTCACAGTATCTATTTTCAGATTTGATAGTAGTTGCTAAGTTGCTATATATATTTCATTGCTCATTTAGTGAGCATATATTGATGAATATTATGTATTCCTGATGTAATATTCCCTTAATCACTATATAGCACCCTTCCTTGCCTCTTGTTACCTTGTTAAACTGGGACTATATTTTATCTGACATTAATATAGCTGTTCTTGCTTTCCTTTGAATTCCATTTGCTTGTAGGATTTTTTTTAACACTTTATTCTGAGAAGTATATATTAATATATTTTGGTGCTCAGGTGTGTTTCATGGAGACAGAAAAAAAGTTGTTTTCAGATCAAATTAGCCTCTCCATACCTTTTGGTTAGTGGATTCAGTCTGTTTACAATGAGAGTAATGATTGAAATATGAAAGTCTGCTATTGCAGTTTTGACCTTAAGTTTTAGGCTCTATTTCTTTGTTCGTTTTTTTTTGTTTGTGTGTGTGTGTGTGTGTGTGTGTATTCTCTTTTTTTGATTTAGATACAAAAGCTTCTTTCAACATTTTTGGAGAATTTAGTGTTTGAAATCTTCTTCAGCTTTTGTTTATCTTAAAAAGCCTTTATTTCTCCTTCATATCCAAAGGAATCCTTGTAGGATAGTTTGCTGGAAATGTTTATTTCTCAGTATTTTCATAACATTATTTCATAGTATTTTGCCCCTTAAATAAATAGTGAAATTTATTTATGGGTAGTAGAGTATATAATAGAAAAAATGGTAATGTTATGAAAACATATTTAGGACATACATGCAGATATATATTTGTTGGAGTGAGTCCAACAAATAATAGGATATATTTTTTTTCTGTTGTTGTTTAATAGACCTTGGTAAACTTTTTCACTTTCTCTTTTCTTCAAAAGGGTTTCTTTTATAAGAGAAAGTAACATTTTTCAACTTTTTTGTCTTTACAAGTTAGATAAACATTACATATTATGTGTTAAGGGTAGATGACACATTTGGTGTCAAAAGATGGCCTTTATTTCTACAGGAATGATTGGGGACATGTGCTGAAAATAAAAGTCCTGAATTACTCAGACTCAAGTGCCCCAGTTCACAAGTTTAACTAGGGCAATGGCCTTTGCAACATTTGATGATGCTTTCTACTCTGCTCTGGTTTCAAATGAAGAATGCCAACAGCAAAGCCATATTGGCAACCTTTGACTCTTTGTTTTCTTAGAATACCGAAGGTGATATTCTTAAGTACTTTGTCATAGTAGTGAAATTAGTAAAGGTGTCATGTGAAGGCCAGTTAAACTTTTTGAAAGTGTTATAAAAATATTAACATAAGTTTATGAATTTCAGAAAAGAGGTTCTGTTGAAATTTCATTTCTTTTTTTACTCCACGAAGCTAAATGTTTTATATCAAAGGTATTATTTCTTTCCGAAAGAAGAACCCCTCTCTCTGGGATCCCTGGCAACTAGTGGTCCATGATTTGGGATCAGTCAATTACATGTTCTTTTAGCAACTGTAGTGCTGAGAAAGTGATATAAGAGCAGAGAATTTATTCTGCTTCCTAAAAAGTACAGAACTTGTGGATTAAAAGTCCTCTGAACTTCCCTTGGGGGACTGTCAACAGATGGGTAAAAGAAGCATGTCCCAGTGCAAGCCAGGTTATTCTCTTGTCAAAAGTATATTAGAGGAACTTTCATAAAGTCCTTTCAAATTTCTTGGATTCTGTCAGATGTGATTGTTTATAGAGTTTCCCAAACTCTGTTTAGTGTTTCCATGATATTCATTCATGTGCTCACAGATATTGCTGGAATGAGTCCAAAAAATAATAAATATGCAGGATGCATTACTTTTTGTTAACATTGATTATAAATGCATTTATTTTTATATCTGTTGGAAATGCCCTGGAATTTCCCCTCTGTAAAGGATCATAAAACTTAGTGTAGTACTTTACACA